GGGTTATGTTTCATCAAAAGAGATATGCATTAGATATTCTGAAGAGGTTCAGAATGGAGAACTGCAACCCAGCTGTCACACCAGCTGATCCCAATCTGAAGCTTGGAAAGAATGAGGAAGAGAAGGAGGTGGACTCAACTCTTTACAAACAGATGATTGGAAGCTTGAGGTTTTTATGCAATAGCAGACCAGATTTGAGCTATATTGTGGGGCTCCTGAGCAGATTTATGGTCAGACCAAGAACTACTCACTTTAATGCAGCAAAAGAGTGCTGAGGTACATCAAAGGTGTTGGGTTTCGGGCAGAAAAACGCAGCGGAATAAACTAAAATTTTTACTACCCAAAAGTAAACAAACGGATCTGAGGTTCTTATTATAAACGAAATTACAAGAATTTAAGAGGGACTTACATAACAATCTTAATCAGGGATGTCAGACAGTCCGAGAAAACGACCCCGAGCTCTACCGGTATCCACACGACCACACGCACGTGACTGGATCGGCCGCAGGGAACGTGCTAGCGTTCTCTTCTTTCTTCCTCTCTACTCTAGGTTTAAGAAGTGAATTTTAACTCTTAAAATTCGTGGGTCTATATGGCCCTATTTATAAGAGGAGTAAAGAAGGGGTTTTATGGCTAATAAAACCCTTAAAGAGGCCCTAGCCCAATACCATTCGAAAACCTATTTCGAATTGGGCTAATCAAGCTATTTTAATGTTATTAACAAACATTAATGATCCAAATCACTTAGGTGTGTGACCCTGTAGGTTTATATATTATTGGTAGTGGGCTAGAAATTAATTCGAGCTTCACAAATCATAAGCGGTCTCTAGCAAGGCATTATGACTATCCAAAATATATAAATGTCAATTAAATCTGACATAACCTTTTAATGATTAATTTGTGCTAACAATTCTCTTTTGTCAAACGATATCTTAATTGAGACAAGGTTAGGTCGTGTCATCCTTGTTATTCTCAATTAATATTTCTTGATTACCAAGTAAGATTAATCTTGATCAAATGACACCTCATTTGAGCATGGCCATGCTAATTAATCTTACTTGTCAAGGGGCCCAATAGATATCTTTCTCTCGATGTACAAGAGTGACAAAAACTATCTTGATAATTCATATACTACTACATGGTTCATAATATGTACAATCACCACCTTTATAATTATCCAGTTAAAGATAACGTTTAATGGTGTTAATACATATTAATTCTCATGCTAGTAACCATGATTATCTCAAGTATAAGAATATAGCACCTCATCATTATTGAGGACAACACTGATGACATATAACCTAGCAGTGTCCCCAAGTTGGGTCTGTCCAATGAACTTGTTCCCTAACAAGCATCTATGTTATTAACTTGATATCTCTATACCCATGACTAGTGGAATATAGCCATCAGTTAATCCACATACTGGTCTATTAATTATTAATGTCCCAAATTAATAATATTAGACCAGGGACAATTAGAATATTATGTTTATTTTAAAGTGTAGCATTCCACAATTAAGTCACATACTTAATTAGCTACTAAACAGAATATTCAGGGACTAAATATTAATAAAGAAAACTCACAATAATAATTAACATAAAATGAGTTTGCAACTTTATTAATTAATGAGCATTAAATATTTATTGATAAATCATAAACTATGATTGTCCTAGGGCATATTTCCAACAGTCTCCCACTTGCACTAGGACCAATCGTGAACAAAACGAATGCCTAATGCACTAGTATGACGTTCATGCTTTGCTTGTGGTAGTGGCTTGGTGAGAGGGTCAGCCACATTTGAATCTGTCGGTACTTTGCATATCTTGACGTCACCTCTATTGACTATTTCTCGAATGAGATGATAGCGTCTGAGTACATGCTTTGATTTCTGGTGCGATCTAGGTTCCTTGGCTTGTACAATGGCTCAATTGTTATCACAATACAAGTCCATTGGTCCAACAATGCTAGGAACCACACCGAGCTCAATGATGAATTTTCTTATCCATACCGCTTCTTTTGCTGCTTCTGAAGCAGCAATGTACTCAGCTTCTGTTGTAGAATCAGCCACCGTGTCTTGTTTAGAACTCTTCCAGCTCACTGCTTCGCCATTGAGGCAAAACACAAATCCTGACTGCGAACTAAAATCATCCTTATCGGATTGGAACCCAGCATCTGTGTAACCTTTTACAATGAGCTGATCTTCACCACCATAGACCAAGAATGCATCCTTAGTTCTTCTCAAGTACTTTAGAATATTCTTGACTGCTATCCAGTGACTATCACCTGGATCTGACTGGTATCTACTAGTCATGCTTAGAGCGCAAGCTATATCAGGGCGAGTACATAACATAGCATACATGATAGAACCTATAGCAGAAGCATAAGGGACTCTATTCATCCGATCTCGCTCATCTTGTGTTTGTGGACACTGAGTCTTGCTGAGATATGTGCCATGTGACATAGGCAAGAATCCTCTCTTGGAATCTTGCATATTGAACCTATGCAGGACCTTGTCAATGTAGTTACTTTGACTTAGTCCTATTAGTTTTCTAGATCTATCTCTATAGATCTTGATCCCTAACACATAGGATGCATCACCCAAGTCTTTCATTGAGAAACATTTTCCAAGCCAAGCCTTTACAGACGAAAGCATTGGAACATCATTCCCAATGAGAAGTATGTCATCTACATATAGGACTAGGAAAGTGATTGCACTCCCACTCAATTTCTTGTAAACACAAGGTTCCTCTTCGTTTTGATTGAAACCAAACTCTTTGATTGCAGCATCAAAACGAAGATTCCAACTCCGAGATGCTTGCTTTAGACCATAAATTGATCTTTTAAGCTTGCATACCTTCCCAGCATTACTTGGATGTTCAAAACCCTCAGGTTGTATCATATACACGTCCTCTTCTAGATTTCCATTTAGGAAAGCAGTTTTGACATCCATTTGCCAAATCTCATAATGAAAATGAGCGGCAATTGCTAAGAGAATCCGAATTGATTTAAGCATGGCAACTGGCGAGAATGTTTCATCATAGTCTATACCATGAATTTGTTTGTAACCTTTCGCCACTAACCGTGCTTTATACACATCTATATTGCCATCTTTATCCAATTTCTTTTTGTAGATCCATTTGCACCCAATGGTTCTACAACCATCAGGTAGATCAACCAAGTCCCAGACTTGATTATCAGCCATGGATTTCATTTCGGATTTCATGGCTTCTAGCCAACTATCGGAGTGATGGCTCGTTATTGCTTCTTGGTAGGTCAAAGGTTCATCTTCGTCAATCAATAATACGTCGCGATGCTCAGTTAAGATAAACATGTATCTAACCGGTTCTCTACGCACCCTAGATGACCTCCTTGGAGCGAGTGTTATCTCAGACGTATCCACAACAACTTGTGGCTGAGGTTGTGGGACTGCTTGCATAGTCTGACTATCTTGATCTTCTTGAACTTCTTCAAGCTGAATTTTACTTCCACTGGTTCTTTCGGAAAGAAATTCTCTTTCTAAGAAAATACCATTACGAGCAACAAACACTTTGTTCTCTGATGGGTTGTAAAAGTAATATCCTTTTGTTTCCTTAGGATAACCCACAAATAAACACTTATCTGATTTGGGTTCAAGTTTATTTGAAAGTAAACGTTTTACATAAACTTGACAACCCCAAATCTTCACAAAAGCTAGACTAGGAACCTTTCATGTCCATATCTCATATGGTGTCCTTTCTGTAGCCTTTGTTGGAGCCCTATTGAGTATGAATGCAGCGGTTTCAAGAGCGTAACCCCAGAAAGAGATTGGTAGTTCAGCGAGACTCATCATGGAACGGACCATGTCTAACAAGGTCCGATTTCTCCGTTCGGACACACCATTCCATTGTGGTGTACCTGGCGGAGTGAGTTGTGAAACAATTCCACATCCTCTTAGATGATCACTAAATTCCTGGCTCAAATATTCACCACCTCGGTCTAATCGAATGGCCTTAATTGTTTTGCCAAGTTGATTCTGAACTTCATTCTGGAATTCTTTGAACTTTTCAAAAGCTTCATGTTTATGCTTCATTAGGTACACATAACCAAACCTACTGAAGTCATCAGTGAATGTTATGAAGTACTGAAAACCTCCCCTGGCCATTGTTGACATTGGGCCACATACATCCGAGTGTATGAGGTCCAATAAACTGTGAACTCTTTCACCTTTACCAGTAAATGGTGACTTGGCCATTTTACCCAATAAACAAGACTCACACTCCTCGATTGATTCAAAATCAAAAGAATCAAGAAATCCACTAGAATGGAGTCTTTTAATGCGCTTCTCATTTATATGGCCTAGTCTACAATGCCAAAGGTATGTTGGGTTTGAGTCGTTAGATTTAAACCTCTTTGTATTTATGTGATAGATGAGCATTTCAAGGTTTAGAACATAAAGTCCATTTATGAGACTAGCACTACCATAACAGATCTCATTAAAATAAATAGAACAAATGTTGTTCTTTATTATAAAATGAAATCCTTTCTTGTCCAAACAAGAAACGGAAATAATATTCCTGCTAATGGCAGGTACATGATAACAATTATCAAGTTCTAAAACTAAGCCCGTGGGCAAATTCAAAGTAAATGTCCCTATTGCTAATGCTGCAACTTTTGCACCATTGCCTACTCGTAGGTCAACTTCACCTTTAGCCAGCCTTCTACTCCTTGTTAGCCCCTGCACATTTGAACAAATGTGAGAACCACAACCGGTATCCAATACCCATGAAGTAGTGGTAGTAACATTTACTTCTATCACATAGATACCTGAATTGGAAGCATCACCATGCCCCTTCTTTTTCAGTTCCTCCAAATATGCCTTGCAATTCCGCTTCCAATGACCAGTTTTGTTGCAGTGGAAACATTTTTGCTCTTCTTTAGAAGAAGAGCTAGCAACCGATTTGCTTTTACCCGAGTTCTTAACCAGGGTTTTGGATTTCTTGTTTCCACCAACCTTGCCATTACCATGCTTCTTGAACCCCTTCCCCTTTTTGACCATCAAAATGTCACTCCGATTTTTCTTGATGTTTTGCTCAGCAGAGTTGAGCATTCCATGCAATTCGGTTAAGGTCTTCTCAAGACCATGCATATTATAGTTCATGATGAACTGGTCATATGCCGGAGTGAGTGATGCGAGAATCACATCAGTAGCCAACTCTTGACTAATTGGAGATCCAAGTCTTTCCAGGTGATCCCTAAGCCCGATCATCTTGAGCACGTGAGGTCCAACCGAGTTTCCATCAGTAAGCCTTGTGTGAAACAAAGCTTTGGTCGTCTCGAACCTTTCGATCCGTGCTTGTTTCTGAAACAAGTTCTTGAGTTCATTAGAGATGTCATGTGCACGACGATTCAGAAACTGTTTCTGAAGATTAGCTTCCATGATAGTTAACATCAGACAAGTGACATCAACTTCATCACGGACATGCCTTTCATAAGCATCTCTAATGGCTCTAGCAGCATTGGCCGCTGGTTCAGCAGGAATTGGTTGGTCAAGGACATATTCTTTACGCTCTTGTTTGAGAACGATTCTCAGATTCCTATCCCAGTCCATGTAATTTGTTCCATTAAGTTTTTCTTTCTCAAGGATAGATCGCAGTGAAAAAGTTGTGTTGGCGGCCATATTTACTACAACAAATAATGCAAAGAATTTTAAATAATGCTAAAAAATAACTCCCACTATATTAAATAGAAAGTCCCAAATATAGTGGTCCAAGATCCATATTTCACTAAAGTTTAAGTAAGCTTTGGCTTATCACTTAAAAATTAGTTATTTAGGTAAACAACTCTTGTTAATCATATCATATATGACTCTTGGTTTGTTTGGTCAACATTATTTGATTATCCAAACACTCCTTGCTTCAAGGCCCAAAACCATTTTGATGGCCTTGTAAGTCCAAACCAATATTAAGACCCGAGAATGACGATCATTCAAAACATCTTCCTAAGATAGTGTGAAATGCTCTGCTTTGGCAGACACATATCACAACTAGCATAGTTTAAATGGTGGTCATATTGGGAAAGCAATTTGGACTTATAATTAGTCGGGACTAATAATTACACACATGCAGCAATCAAATATTTAAATAAATAATTTAAAACTAGTGCAGTGATATAGCATGATCCCAAAATCTTCATATCTCCTTGACATCTTCAACCTGTGTAGTGTACTACTAAAAATCTACGGGGTTGAAAAACATTACAGGGGATAGTGGGAAACGGCACGCAGGCCGTAAAACAACATAATATAAAACATACATTCAGATCATGCTATACCACCACTTAAAGCTGTCCCTGTGACGGAGCAAAATAATTGCGCATGCACGGATTGAAAATTAAATTTTAAAATCCGCAAGTAATATGTATTTAATTCGGATCTCATCCGGAAAAATACATATTTAATGAATTCTAAAATAATTCGTATTACATATGCACAAATACAGATCATATCCGTAATATAGATTAATGCACATATATAACTACGAATAAAAATTAATAAACTAAAATTCGAAAATAATTAATTTGTGATTAAATTCGAATTTCCCATATAACATATCCGTAACATAGATGAATTCTAATATGTTATAATATGGATCTCATCCCAACTAATTGTGTATTCTTCGATCTGAACTAATTAGGCAAATCACTAAATTTGTATAATAGAAGAATAACTTTGTAAAATCAATTCGGATCTCATCCGAAAAACGAGAAGCTAAAACTTCCAAGATTAGGTCTAAATATAAACTAGATCTAATTCAATCTTTTAATTGATTTCAAATTTGGAAATCTATATATACCACAATCCGAATGTGATACGAAGCAATAAATATTGAATTAGAATTTGAATCAAAATCAGAATCTTGCAATAATATACAAAGCAATAGATTGATACGAAGCAATATAAACAAGTTATATTCGGACTTTATAATAGATTTTGAATCAAAATCCAAATTTTTCAAAATCCTAGTTGTACTCAAAATTATTCCGAATATGAAACATAAATTATAAGTATCAAATTGGATCTAATTCAAACTCTTGAATTTTCATGTCCATTCAAATCTCTTCCGAATAATTAGGCTGTAGGATTCCATCCAATTCCTAATCTATTCAGATCTGATTTGTAAAATAAATATTATCACAAAATATTCCAAATATTATTGTGAATATATATTGGATCAAGTTCGAATTGTTCGAGTATCACATCCTTATAAACTTTCGGAATGTAGCATACACATAAATTCCGAAATTAATATATCAATAATTTCGAAATTAATAAAAAAAAAATAAATTCCGAAAATAAATCCCAAAATAATCAAATTATAGATTCTACATCAAATCGTGTAACCCGAGTATAATAAAGAACCGTAGGCTCTGATACCACTGTTGGGTTTCGGGCAGAAAAACGCAGCGGAATAAACTAAAATTTTTACTACCCAAAAGTAAACAAACGGATCTGAGGTTCTTATTATAAACGAAATTACAAGAATTTAAGAGGGACTTACATAACAATCTTAATCAGGGATGTCAGACAGTCCGAGAAAACGATCCCGAGCTCTACCGGTATCCACACGCACGTGACTGGATCGGCCGCAGGGAACGTGCTAGCGTTCTCTTCTTTCTTCCTCTCTACTCTAGGTTTAAGAAGTGAATTTTAACTCTTAAAATTCGTGGGTCTATATGGCCCTATTTATAAGAGGAGTAAAGAAGGGGTTTTATGGCTAATAAAACCCTTAAAGAGGCCCTAGCCCAATACCATTCGAAAACCTATTTCGAATTGGGCTAATCAAGCTATTTTAATGTTATTAACAAACATTAATGATCCAAATCACTTAGGTGTGTGACCCTGTAGGTTTATATATTATTGGTAGTGGGCTAGAAATTAATTCGAGCTTCACAAATCATAAGCGGTCTCTAGCAAGGCATTATGACTATCCAAAATATATAAATGTCAATTAAATCTGACATAACCTTTTAATGATTAATTTGTGCTAACAATTCTCTTTTGTCAAACGATATCTTAATTGAGACAAGGTTAGGTCGTGTCATCCTTGTTATTCTCAATTAATATTTCTTGATTACCAAGTAAGATTAATCTTGATCAAATGACACCTCATTTGAGCATGGCCATGCTAATTAATCTTACTTGTCAAGGGGCCCAATAGATATCTTTCTCTCGATGTACAAGAGTGACAAAAACTATCTTGATAATTCATATACTACTACATGGTTCATAATATGTACAATCACCACCTTTATAATTATCCAGTTAAAGATAACGTTTAATGGTGTTAATACATATTAATTCTCATGCTAGTAACCATGATTATCTCAAGTATAAGAATATAGCACCTCATCATTATTGAGGACAACACTAATGACATATAACCTAGCAGTGTCCCCAAGTTGGGTCTGTCCAATGAACTTGTTCCCTAACAAGCATCTATGTTATTAACTTGATATCTCTATACCCATGACTAGTGGAATATAGCCATCAGTTAATCCACATACTGGTCTATTAATTATTAATGTCCCAAATTAATAATATTAGACCAGGGACAATTAGAATATTATGTTTATTTTAAAGTGTAGCATTCCACAATTAAGTCACATACTTAATTAGCTACTAAACAGAATATTCAGGGACTAAATATTAATAAAGAAAACTCACAATAATAATTAACATAAAATGAGTTTGCAACTTTATTAATTAATGAGCATTAAATATTTATTGATAAATCATAAACTATGATTGTCCTAGGGCATATTTCCAACAAAAGGTAGTGCAGATTTTGGTGTATTACTGCCAAGTTCAAGAAAAATGAGAAGTGATACTCTATTAGGGTATTCTTACTCAGACTGGAACAGGAATATTGATGAGAGGAGAAGCACATATGGATATGTCTTTACAGTTGGTCTGGCCACAGTTTCTTGGTGTTCTAAGAAGAGTGATTCTGTGTCACTTTCCACCTGTGAAGCTGAGTATATTTCAGCTTGTTATGCATCTTGTCAGGCACTTTGGTTGAGATCATTATTGAATGAAGTAAAACTGAGAGCATTAATGCCAGTTGATACAAAGTATCATTTTTTGAGAGAAAATGTCAGCAAAGGAAAGATCAAAGTGTGGTATTGCAAGACTGAAGTTCAACTGGCTGATATCCTTACAAAACCACTTGGTCCACAAAGATTCATAGAGTTGAGGAAGACGCTGAATATATTCTCAGTTTCTTTGTTGCAGGGAGCATAGTATATTTGTTGTTTATTTCCTGATTTGTTGTTATGCAGAATTAAGGGAGCATGTTGTAGTTAATAATTCTGCAGCCCATTATTCTTGTGTTGGGCTTTGTTATGTTTACAGCCCATTTAATAAGTGACCAAGGTCCATTGTATGTTCTTGATGTTGTAGAACTGATATAACGGGTTGTTATTGAATAACAGAAGGCAGTTGCCTCAGTTTTCATATCTCTCTCTTCTAGGTTTATTCTGTTTCGCTCCAAGAATGTGTACAAATGAAAATTGATAGAGAAGTGCTTGAGTCCCTAAAACCAAAAGAAAAAAACTTGTCCCCAAAACAAAAAACTATACAAAGTTTAGTCCCCACATTTATGCTTAACTCTTTCTTCTACGTAGTAAATTGTAATATGATGTGGAGTATTTCAAAATCTAAAGTAGAAATATCGATATCTCGGTGTTGTGTAACGCGCGTGCCACTGGCCCACCGTAGCTTAGTAGTGACTAGTGAGTGACGAGTGTAGACTGTAGACAGTAGATACATCTAATTGTGATGAGTAAAATAGTGTGTATAAGAGTATGTGGTAAAATGAATAGCACCACACAAGTCTTCTATCACGAGAAGAGAAAGTTATTGGAGTGCTCGGAGCGATTTACCTTCTAATTTTGAGTACACGGAAAACTCCGTATTAATTTTGAAATTTTATTTATTTTTATTCGAAATAATGAAATGGTAGTTTCTTAATGTGATTTTTTGGGTGGTGGCAATTGGTTTGATAGTTGATTCTATTAGAATGAAATAACTATTAAAGATACGAATAATAGAATAGAGAGTAATACCTAGAGCCCGTTTGGCAACATAAAAATCGGATGATTCTGCTGAAATTTATGAAGTTCTGACTCAGATGGTTGAATTAGTTGATTGTGCTGATTTAAGAAAAAATTATTTTTAAAATATATTTTATTAATAAAATAAAGGAAAAAATATGTGTAAAAATAGCTAAAATGATCATCTACAGTAAGAGGCTGTTTGGCGACACTGTTTTTTGGCTTTTCAGGCTTATCAGCAAACTTTTTCACCAAGCACATATCTTTAACTTTCGCGCGCTGAATTGTGTAATAAGCAGAAAAAGTAAGGTTGGAGTTACTTTTCTGGCTGTATTGGCTGAAGTTACTATAAATGACTATTTTAGCTATTTTTACATATAATTTTTTCTTTATTTTATTAATAAAATATATTTTAGAAATAATTTTTTCTTAAATCAGCAGAATCAGCCAATGCAGCCACTTCAGCCAGAACTTCATAAATTTCAGCAGAATCAGCCAAATCAGCCGATTTTCGTGCTACCAAACGGGCTCTAACAATGTTTGATGAAAAAGTTGGTTGATAAACCTGATAAGCCGAAAACAATGTTACCAAACGACCTCTGAACTTAGCTTTTGATAAAGTATTTTAAATGATTCCGAAGTAACAACTTTCTATACGACATAAACCTAGAAAATTGGAAATCAGTTTAAAAATATTACAGAGTATATGATTTAGAAGAATAGTTTACCTGAAAATTAGATTTAGACTTGTTGGACGATATCTGGTCAGACAACTCCTGGTCATGCAGATAAGTCATCCCCTCTTTCAGAAACCTCATGATTGCTAAGAAGAAGGAAATAAGGATAAGAAATGGAAAAGAAGGTAGAAGGAACAGGTCGAAGAGAAGAAATTAGTTTCGATTGTGTTAAACAACAAAATCGAAATTCAATTCTGAATAACTTTGCCGAACGGGCCCAAAAATCTGGTACAGATCGTTGTTGAGACAGTGAAGAGGAGAGCTGCCTGAGTTGTTGAGAACTATGATTCGGCTACAGGGGCGGATCCAGGATTTCATGTTGGGCTGGGCTGAAACACTTTAATATTATTACATTAAAAATTTTCATAATAAGAGCAATATCAAATATAAGAATTCTTCACTAAATTTGTCCTCGAGGCTTTGAAGCAAAAAACTCGTCAACAATAGAGTCTACATCTATACTAAGAGTAAGGTCTCTTTCAATATAAAGCATCATGCAATCAGCAAGAAAGTCATCCGCCATCTTGTTGCGGAGTGTTGTCTTCAGAAGTTTCATGGCAGAAAATGACCGTTCTGCTGTTGCAGTAGAAACAGGTAGGATCAATACAAGGCGAATCAATCTGCTCATCATAACATATGAATCAGATCTTCTGCTCTTAGTCAACTCCTCACATAGTTCAACAAGTGTAGCTACTTGAAACTTGGTATCAGGAATCACATCATGAACATAGTGTTGCAGCTCGAATTCTAAAGCACGAATATCCTGACTACTAAAGTCTTCGGGATAGAACTTCCTTGCAAGAGTACAAATAGCATCAGCATTGAATGACTCATATGAATTTTTGGGATCCAATGAAGCACTCAAAGAAAGGAGTTCCATTGATTTGTCATTAAACCGGGTTCTTAACTCCACCAATACAAAGTCTATTGCCTCATTGAAAACATCAAAGTGATAATGATGCTCAACTGTAGTTTGCTTGCGGCAACGACCTACCATATATTTAGAATTCAACTCCGGTACATGAATTTCATGTTTTGAGCAAAACTCCTTTACTTCTTCAAGAAAGTCTTCCCACCCATTTTCTCTCAATTCCCCGAGAATGAGTTGGGTAGTAGAAACATATCTCATAGCTAGCAAGATATCCAATGATTTTTTTTGAAGCCCTTGACATAGAATACTCGTTATTCCCATAACTTTATGCATCAAAAGTAAACTGAACACAAATTCAAAACATGCAAAGTGTCTATATACACCACAAACTTCTGCCCGAGAACTCACTTTTGGGCAATGTTCTTGCAGATACTCAAGCACTTTGCATGTTGCTGTGAACATGTCAATCAGACTCTTAATTGAATCATAATGGGAACTCCAACGCGTTGCTCCAGCACGTTGCAAATTACCAATTTGATTGGCTCCGCTTCCAGATTCACGCTCACCTGCTTCCAACATACGTTCAACTTCTATTCTTTGAGCACTCTGTAGTTCACTAATTCGCTGAGAAGAAGAATTGACAATGTTGACAACATTGTCCAAATGAGAAAAAAACTCCCAAATAACGCTAACATCTTTGGCCGCGTACACGAGTACAAGTTGCATCCTGTGAGCAAAGCAGTGAACATAATATGCACAAGGATAATCCCTAAGAAATAATGCTTGAAGCCCATTCCATGTCCCTCGCATGTTATTAGCACCATCATATCCCTGACCTCGCAATTTGCTAAGGTCAAGGTCAAATCTAACAAGAATATCAGATATCTCGTTCTTTAAGTTCAATGACGTCGTACTGATAACACTTTTGATGGCAAAAAAGCGCTCAGTCAATACACCACAACTATTCACATACCTCAGAATGATGGTCATTTGCTCTCGATGAGATGCATCTCTTGCCTCATCTACAAGAATACAGAAGCACCCATTTCCGACATCTTCACGAATCATTTTTCGTACTCTGTTACCCATAATGTTCAAAATATCCTTTTGAACAGTTGGAGAAATGTATTGAGCATTCTTGGGAGCATTATGTAACACAACTTTGTCATTATTGAATTTGGGCTTTGGGTCTTCTATTTTTTAGCCTAGTGGACTGGGCTGAATTTTTTTATTGAGCCTAGTAGTACCATTCATTATAAGAATTTGGTTTTTCTTGACTGGGCTAGAAAAATGAACTACGTTATAGAAAATTTTGGCCTGGGCTATAAAAAAATTTGGGCTGGGCTGGACAGAAATTTTTAAAAATAATACCTTAAAAAATTTTTTTTTTTTTTAGTTTGCCCTGGGCTTCAGCCTACCATAGCCCTAACATAGATCCTCCCCTGTTCGGCTAGGTTTCTTGGTGTTGTGATCTGGAAAGAACAGATCGATTTGAGAAGTTCAGATATGAGAAATGAAAGACGTACACGGGAAGGGGGTAAAAGCCGTAGATCTAGTTTACTAAAATCGGACGGTTGATATTCAGCTTCGGGGTGGGCGGGAATTTGTTTTGGGGTGTTGTAGTGCTATTAAGGAGAGGATTAAAAGGTCATAGTGAAAAACTACTAAGAGTATATTTTTATATTTGACTTTTCATAACAAACAGTCAAATTTAAAAATGGTTAACAAGAACAAAAAAAGTAATTTTACAGTCAAACAAGCAAAGTCAATCCTAAAAGTAAAAAATGGCTTATAGGTTCTTACCAAACATCCCCATTGTATGTTTTAATTTGAATTGTTCAGCTTGTTTGTTAGTATATTTTTACAATAAACAAATAAAATTGTAAGGGTAATAACTTAACCAACTTATTCTTATGTCTATTCTAGTTCAATCTACTTGTACATATTATCTTGAGACCTGTAGTTTATTTTTGTTGGTTCATTTTAAATAGTTTGTCACCCGGATTAAGTTTGTCAAATTCTTTTAGTACAATCTTGAGAGACCCTCAAAATCATAATCAATAAAAAGACTAGACTTTTTTATAAAGAATTTCAGCTTTTTATATAAATCTCACCATAGGGTGTTTATATTTACAATGATTGGCTAATTACAGTATATATAGGTGAACATCACATGTATCTAATTTATAGGATCGTATACCATGTGTCATGAATCTATAGAACGGGTGGCACATGTCTTTCCAAAGGTGCAGTGATCCTGATCAGGGGCGTAGCTAGGGGAACCAAAATTGACCTCGGCCCACCCAAGATTTTAAAAATGGTCATATTTTTTGTGTAAAAAAATACATATAATTTTTTTTCAAAAAGATTTTGCGTACCTGTCCAGTGCCGTGGCTCCGCCCTTGAATTCCTCATGATGCCTATCAATGAATCAAGGGATGATGCATGGCTATCCAATGTGTTCCATATGTGTCGAGCCAAATGCTTGCCTCCTCTTCAGCCATCAACCTTGGTGGTCGAAGATGAAGATTGAGTAGTTATGTCTTGCCTTGGGTTTCCTAGTGGATCATTCAAGAACTTCCCTAAGCTCAATTGTGAAAGTAGATCCAAGGGATGAACCCATATTGCAGGGGAGGATCTATGTATATGTTATGGTAGGCTGAAGCTCAAGGCAGCTTAAAATTTTTTCAATTTTTTTAGTGTAAATTTTTAAAAATTTCATATTTAGCCCACCCCGCTAAAGTTGAAGTCAAATAGAATTTCTTTTCAGCCCAGGGCATTCCGGAATCCGGATCCGCCCCTGCCATATTGTGAATCTTCATTATGTTTGTAGCTTGTTATATTGTGTTGGTAGATACTTGTTGAGAGTGGCATCCTCCGGTTTACCATTTCTCTAGATGAGTCAAGACTCCGCACAAAGGAGTATACCTTGCTGACGTCGAAGTTCGGACAACCTATGCTTCGTTTTGATCGTGGTTAGGGTTAACCTTGGGGTCAAAGCCCATATTTGAAGGCGACAGTTTGGAAACTACCATGACTACATATCTTGGCTTTGTTTAAAATTTTAAATTTGATATGTTTACATTTGTCTTGAGTCTTGACTAATCCTTCTAAAAGTCATTGGTATCCATGCATTTGATGAACTTCCACTAATTGTAATTATCATTATGGATGTGTGAGATTGTGAGAGCTACTGGTGAAATATTTGGTTCTCGTCGGTCATCTCACTTCAAAAAAGTTACGGGATTGATTAGGATTTGGCACAGATTTACCATTAATTTCGTGCTAAATAGCTTGTGTCAAAGTATTTTTGACAAAGATTTGGCATAACCCTGCCAAAATCTTTGTCAATTTTGAGAAATACCTACCAAAAATTTCTGTCAATCCCGTGTTTTTTTGTAGTGTGTCGCTCCGCACGACATGTAGTTTAACTATTTGGTTTGGTTTGTGTTGAGTTTTTCATGAAAATCAAAATACCTCAAATATCTTAGGTTTTAAAAGTCCATGTGCAAAACAGGGTCATTACAATGAAGGAAAGTTGGATTTTTAATAGTTTACATTTGGGAAATGAACACACCAAACTCGGCCTTAGTAACGCCCATCCCTACGTTTGTAATGGACCTTGCTCTGAATTTTTGAACACAAATATATAGGTAACTTTTGGTTCCATAGAAAACTTGGACCAAATCAATCCACTCATACGGTAAATGATACGTAGTGGATTCTAGGGACAAAGCGAAGAATCTGGATCCATAAAAAATCAAACCAATAGTCAAAATCGACCATGTTATAATTGGTTCTATTTACAGTCACAGTATATGCCTAATTAAATATATGAGTTTTTTTTAAATAATGATGATTAATTATGAAATTAGGATCCAATTAAAAATATTTAGCAAAATAGTGTTTGAGTGTATCATGGTTAGGAAAATCGTTCATCCAGATGGCGACTAAGAGCATTTCCAATGCTCATGTTGCATTGCTCCTTATGTGGCAAGAAAATAGAGAGGGTATGTAGCAAATATCAGCAAATAGAGATGGTCTATTTGGAGTGTACTCCAATGCATAAAGGGAACAACAACAAAAAATTTAAAACTAATAAAAGAAGAAAGGAAAGCTACGTACAGTGCACAATAATGAGTTCCTTGCTTAGGTGGAGTGAAGGTAGCACTGAAGGTTTGTTTGTAGACCTTGTACTGGACCTCCTCCTTTGCCAACTCAGATTTTGAAGGTTCATTGACTTTAACATTGGAGAGTAGATTTTACAATAGAATGTACATTTGCTGACATGGAACTC